TTGTTCTCCAAACCTCAGTGATTACAGTTCCCACAGCTCTGTGTATCTGTTAGTGTCACATCACAGTGTGACCTAGAATGCTCAGGGCCAGATCCAGATGTCCAAGATAGGGCAATGGAAAAGTTTTCCAAAAGCTCAGTGTAAATGGGCTGGGGACTCTAAAATTTATAACTTCCCACAAGAGCTCTTAAGCAACTTAAACAAAGTGAAACTTAATAGAAACCTTATATCAAACCTGATTTTGTAGTCCTAGAAGTAGGAATGGAAACAAATTAGATTTTTTATTCATAGTTTAGATATTCCTTACAGGTGAAATTCAGTGTTTTTTCTCCCTCTGCACTACCAGACAGAAAGAAACTGGAGCAGGGGCTTATTCCTTATTGGAGGGATGGAATCCACCTACAGGTGCTAACCTGCCTCAGCCTTCTCCACATTTACATTTCATTATAAGACTCATTGCTTTCAGGAACTTCTAGAAACTTACATATTTTAATGCACTGTGAGTAATAAAATCTCCAGTCAGGAAAGGCCAAGAGCAGTAAGCCAGAAAAAACAAGCTGCCAGGACTGCTGGGACTGAGAGTGAAACACCACAGGCTTTCCTATGGAACTTCCTCCAAAGACATCCAGAGGAAGGACTATGTTCCCACAAAAACTGGAGTTTTCTAGGGCTGATCAATCATTAGATGTAACTTGCTTCTTGCAGAACTCACAGCTGGAAAGAGACACTGATTTGTCAGCTTTACTTCCTCTTGAACATTACCATTTTGGGATTCTGTGGACAGCTTTCCTGCATTTTGCCTTTGAGGATGGTGCTCTGTCCCAGTGTTTGGCTCTGCATCTTCTCACGATGTTTCTACAGCTCTGGCTAAGGCCTGAAACATTTAACCATCTGTAATGAGGCTCCCACAGTGTAAACAGGCAGATTTTTAGAGCTGCTGCACACTCAGCAGCTCCTGCTGAAGTCACTGACCCCTTAGGTAGGTGCACACATGGGAAATTAGGCAGCCACTTCAAGAAATGTCTTGATCCATCACTTCATTCAAATTGTTTTTAATGCTGGTGGGAGAAGTGCTCAGTTCTGCAGTGATGACTCTGGGTTTCGTGTCCTGTGACATGAATGAAACCTCACACTCTCTGCAGGCAGACTTCCCAGGCATTAGGTGCTTTTTGGGATCAGGACTCCCAGCACTACTTCTAGGCTTTCTTGCACATTAATATGATTTCTTGCTATGACTTGGTTCTCTGGAGCACTCAGCTGGCAGACTGTTTCCTATGAAACATGATGCTCATGCTCTTCGGGTTAGGATGAGCTGTGATAATTCACCTCCCATGGAAGCACAGCTCCTCTGGCTATCCTTATCCTCAGCAAACATGTTCTGAGATGCTGGGTGATAAAACACCTGTTTTCAACACTTCTTTTGTTGCAGCCTGCTGTAAAATCAGCTGTAGTTTTGGAGCATTAATCATATCTGAGCTCCTTGGCTTACATTCTGTGCCTGCTACAAGGGGATTGCTGCCTCTGGAATGGGCTGGGATCCCTGGCATTTGTTTTCAAGCAAAATCAGCAGCTGGAATGGAGGTAAATGATGCATTCACAGCACACTTTATTTCTTACCCTAGGTTTGAAGAGTGCTTCAGCTCAGCCAGAATTTTTCAAGATTGGAAATGGACAAATTTCCAGGCAGTATAAACTGACATAACTCATTCAGATTTACACTCTCTCAGCAGCTCATTCTTTGTTTCTTCACTAAGTGCTTTCTTCTTTTCAGTACACATCCTTTTCTTTCACAAATCACTTTCTTATTATTGATGAATTTTCCTTAACACTGCTTTTACAGATGTCAATCACAGAATCATTTAAACATTGACATTTTTTGCACATAAGTATATACCACCATATTTTGTACTAACAGAAACATTGCACTGGAGTTTAAAACACAAGGAAAATCAACAAATTGAAGGCTGAAGACAATAATGTGGCAGTCTTGGCTGGCTGGTTTGGGTAGCTCTAAAGAAGTTTTCTCCTTTTTAGTGCTGTGAATCAGTGTTGCTGCTGTTGGAAAGCACAGCATTACTAAACTTGGCTTAGGAAGTCCCTGACCATTTTGCCTGTCAGGGACTTGAGAGAGAATTTCCAGGAGAGGACCTTGGTACACTTGTGTTATCAGATTTATCCCTAGGCTTCTGCTGCACACCACCACTGCAGTCCCAACACCAGCTCTGTCCTCCAGCCTTGCATTTTCATACTCAACCAAGTCTTATTTCCTACTGATGCTCTCCACAGCTGGACTCTAATGAGTATAAGAAATGTTTCTTATATTGTAATTGCTTAAAATACCCTCTGATTATTTCAGTAAAAAGAGCTCCAATTAGTCTTGTTACAACTCAGCTGTGAAATTCTGGTTGAAGGAAGAGGGAGTTACTAAATATTGACTGTCTGCTGTCCTCAGGACCACTTTGTCCTCAAGCCTACAGTCACAATCTTCTCTGCATTCAGTTTTACATTTGCAAAAGATGTTTCTGGGGGTCTCTGACAGGTGTTCTTTGCATCATGATGACTTCACCTTGAAATGTGGCCTGCTTGAGACCTGGGCTCCCATTTTAATTGGTTCTGCTTGTTAATTTCTGTTTTTAACTTCCTAGGCAGGCTGCTGTTGGAATTTAAGTTCACCTTCTGTTTGTTCTTAGACTACTTCTCACACCTTTGGGAAATGACCTAGGGAGGACTTTCATTATCTCAGTTAATTTCAACAGGCATCTTCTCATTTTGCTTCCATTCCCCCTCCAGACTGGATACAATTCACAGATTAAGAACTGCAGATGTACAGATGTTTTCCTTTGCTCTGATGCTTTCTGCAAGTTGTTTGTACACTATGAAGTAACTCCTGAACACTTTTACTCCTTTTTCAGTGCAGCAGGAAAAAGCCATTCAAGCTCAGCTACTTAGTTCTCCTCCTTTCTAGAGCTGTAATCTGGAGATGCAGTTTGAAAAATGGTCTGACTAAAAAGCATTTATTTGATGAATTTTCTTTGTAGCAAGGTTTATGTCTCAGTAATCTGCATTTTTAAACAACTAATGCTAAATATTCCAAATGCCTTCCCAAATGGCAAGCTTGGCTTTAAACAACACTGTGAACCTTGTTGATTTCTCTTAGCACTAAAAGCTGTGTCTCAATTTTTAGTGGTTTATATGCATTTTCTACTCATCATCTTCTGTGGACATTTTGGAAGATTTGTTTTCCTAAATCAATGATACTTACACTGAAGGTTTTTTTTGTATTTGTGTTTTGGGTTGTTTTAAAATAATATTTTAAAGTTTTTTAAAATATGTTTTTAACGGGAATAATGTACAATTTTATAAGGCTATATAAATAATGGAAATTTATTTTGGATTTAAGTGCCATTTGGAACTGGGACCTTAAGAAATTCAGATTTGGAATGGGTCTGAACTGCAGGTGATTCTTTGCTCATTGTAGCCTCTTGGGCCTACCTTAGAATGTTTTCTGAAGAAGCAGAGGACTGCGGGTGTAGGGTTCTGCTGTCTGAGAAGGATTACTGCCACTGCATCAGTCCTGACCATTTGTTTGTTCTATCATTAAAAATGATGCACCTCTCCCATAAAACAGTTTTGAGGGTGAATTTCTGTTTGAGGTCTCTCTGAAAGGATTGCACACTAGTTAAAATTAAATGTCTTAGTGTGATTTTATCAGAGCCCCTGGAAGCCATTTTGTCTTTGTTTCTACTCACCAAAAGTATAAATCACTAACTTTATTACCACATGGGTGGGCCAAGGCCCATCTTTTCTGCCTTTATTCAGAAGCCCTTGAAAGTTGTAAATAATGCAGCACACAGTGTCCTGAGTATTGGTTTAGCCATAGAATTAGCTCTTGTTTAGAGAAGAAAATAGTGCAATTACCTTGTGTATTGACAACTGGGAAAGGATTGACTTTGAGTGCAGCTGACTTTAACAGAGGTATTGAATTTATGTTGGCAACAAAGGCTCACCTGAACCTATAGTTAAGCCTAAGTATTTGAATTTTTATGTGACTGTAATTTCTGATTCTAATGGGAAGGCATTCTGGAACTTTAAAAGGAAAAGTAAAAAAGTTTAATAGAGTTTTGAACCTCATAGCATAAAGAAGATAAGGACTTTTCATTAAAAAGTAGCCCTTTTCCTGAGAGATTTTAGGCCCAGGGGTGCACATCATAGAACTTATGAAAATACATGAAATTGTTATACCATACTATACAGTAAGCCCTGATTTCAGGTTTTTTTTTTTTTTTTTTTTAAATCTCTTCATATTTGAAATTACCTTTGGATAATTTCTTTTTAATTTTTGTCATTTCAGTTATGAAATAAGGTTTCTATATTGTCTAAATGACTCATACTTTTTGAAATATTTAAAAAGTCCCAGAAATCTCTCTGAAGCAAAATATAAGAAGAATGGATCCTGTTTTCCCACCACAATGAGCAAAATCTCATGTTTTAAATTAATAACTGACTTCTAATTGATCATGCATGTATTTTGTCAGAGAGAATACAATGGGTGAAGTTGTCAAAGAAAGGAGTACATTCTTGACAATGCTTAGAGCTCCAACCTGAGCCACTCAATTGCATGGCAACAAGATCATCTGCTGTGACTCAAAATGTGCAGAGAAGTACCAATAAGGAAGAAATTCCAATAAAGGAAGAAAAGGAGAGTTTATGGGCAAATCAGCAACTCCCAGCACACTCAGAGATGTCCCCTAGGAGGTTTGTAGTGCTTCCTCCAATGCACATCTTAGAAGCCACTGCCTGTGTTGGGAGGGCAGCAGATGACATCGATGTACACACATGTGAGTAAATCCACCCCATCACAGGTAAGCACTTAAGGCAATACTTAATGTGCTCCAGGAAATTACAATATATAAATATCTGCAATTGTTACTTAATTCAGAAACATTTTAGTTAATTTGTATAGAGTCATGCACATATAAAATATAAAGATGAAAACCCACCATATTCTGGGACCTGGCCTGTCCCACGTTTCAACAGCAGTCGCACTCTCCTGCCACCAGACTTGATTAGCTCTATTGCTCTGGCATGTGTCATGTCCCTTGTGCTTTCTCCATTGATTTCAATTATTTGATCTCCTACCTGTCAGGTAAGAAGAATATTGAGTCAGACAGAATTGCAGTAAAATGAGTGTTTCAGGAAGAGACATATTCAATGGATCACAGGTTACTTGAATGACAGACAGACACATGAAGGAAAATTTGTTCCTGTCTATCTGAGGAATATTACTGGCAGATCAAATAACCTCCAAAGTGGGTTCTGAATATGGTATATCAAATGCTGCTTGTCTTCTGCTGAAATCAGTGCAATGCCTTTGTAACTTGCTCACATCTTCTGCACATAAGAGGCTTTGTTGAATTGCTTGACGTGGTGGAATCACTGGAACATTATCCCTGCTGCTCTGTAACATGCAGTGTTGGGTGAGCCTGAGAAGAACTTTGTTGCACTTGCTGTTTTCATAGAGAAAAGAGAGGTTCAAAGCACAAACAGAAATTTCCATCATTTGAATTTCCAAACCTCGGTAGTAAAGTTTCACACCGAATTAAGAGTCGTTATGCAGCACACTGTTAAACAAAGAAAGGTTAGTGCTATGACACAGGACAAGCAGGTTTGCTGGGGTTCAAAGAGCAGGCTTTGAACTATTTACCACAGGAGCTTATTGCTGGGAGTAAGCACAGCCTGTGGCTGAACTGTCTAGTTAGAGCAGCTGACTCCAGGGTTCTGATTATGGATTTCTGCCACTCATCTCCTGGCCAGATTTCCAGTTAGAGTTGGCTTCATCATTATTTTTCTGCTCTATTTCTACAGCAGTTAAATGTGGCACTGATGTCTGCACATCCCATCCACCCCAGCTTGCTTGGCTTTGCCTCCAGCCTGCATGTTTTGGTTTTGGCTGGCTCTCCATGCTGGAAGCCGTCTCCTTCAGCAGGGGAGCGGTTGCTTTCTGCTGTGCCTGGTCAGCACAGCTCAGAGCAGTGTAGGGAGCAGCACTGCACATCTTGCTGTGCTGTGAGATCCCTTGGAGAGAGCCTGGAGCCAGCACACAGAGAGGTGACACCTGAGCCTCCTGTGAGCAGCACCACAGCTTTGGGATCTGTGCCTTGCAGAAGCCTCCCAGCCCCCTTGGAAGGGCAGCCTGAGTGAACCCAGGATCAGGGATGATCTCCAGGGGCTGGTGGAGGGGCAGGTCCAGGTGATGGCAGCCAAGAGCAGGGCAGGAGGGTCCCAGTGAGTGGGTCAGCACACTCATCTGTCAGTGCCAGAGGAACACATTTGTTCAGCAGGATCTTACCTGCCTCACTGTGCACACACAGCTTCCTCACAGGGTTTCCACCACACTAAAACAACAATGCCTACACATCCTGGGCAAGAGATTGTGACAGTGTTTGCAGGGGTCTTAGGCTGAGGGAAGAGATGAGGATCTGACTCCGTGTTTCAGAAGGCTTGATTTATTACTTTATGATATATATTATATGAAAACTATACTAAAAGAATAGAAGAAAGGATTTCATCAGAAGGCTAGATAAGAATAGAAAAAGAAAGAATGATAACAAAAGCTTGTGTCTTGGACAGAGAGTCCAAGACAGCTGGAATGTGATTGGCCATTAATTAGAAATAATCAACATGGACCAATCAAAGATGCACCTGTTGCATTCCACAGCAGCAGATAGTCATTGCTTGCATTTTGTTCCTGAGGCCTCTCAGCTTCTCAGGAGAAAAAATCCTAAGGAAAGGATTTTTCATAAAATGTGTCTGTGACAAGAGATGATACAGACTTCAAGGTGACACACACTTTCTTTCCCTCTTACAAGACTTCTTAACAAAACCAGCTCTTAGCTGGCCTTGGACATTGAAATATCTTCTATTTTGAATGCTTTCTTTGCTACAGTTGTACTTCTGTCAGCTCAAAGTCTAATCCTTCAGAGGTTTTCCTTCTTTCCTGAGTTTGAAATATAATATTTACCAAATAAATGTGCACAATATGAAATGTCAATGCAACCCGTAGCATCAAAGAAAACTAGAAAGGATGTCAAGAAGTTATCTAGTGCTTTTGTTCAGAGACAGAAAGAATGCTAATAGAAGTACTATGACAGTGTTTCTCAATAGGAATTCATAGATTTCATATTTGTCAATAGGAGCTCCATCATCCCAGGATCCTGTATTCAATCTATGCTGATACTTTGTGTAACTGAAAGGCCAATGATCCAAATAAAACCTATCAGCTTTGCTATTACACTTTGTAAATGCTGCTATATTAACAGTGGCAGGGAAAAAAAATCAGAATTATTTTGTGCAGGATTATTTTTGCAGTGCAAATTTCTTCCTCAGTTGATTTTCTCTCTAAAAAAAAATTCATTTGGTTGTACCAAGCTGTGCAAAATTTAAAATATTTCTGGCAGCCTTCAGGCCACACTGAGACACAACACAGATGCTCTCAGGATCATGGTGAGATCTCCCCCAGGTCTGGCCATACAGGGCTCTCTGCATCCCCCAGACTTTTGGAGAATGCTGTTGGTTCACACTCTTGGAGCAAAAAGAGAAAAATCTGTGTTACCACTCCTGTAACACAGACAGAAAATGGATTTGTAGCATCCCCTCAAGGATATTAGTCAGGCCAAATATAGAAAAAAAATCCAATGATTTTGGGAAAACCTGTTTCTAAATGTCATGAAACAATTAAACCCCATAGATGTCCTGTAAAAGTAAAGTCAGATATTCAGAATGCTTGAGGATAATTCTTCTTTTTTTTTTTGTGGAACATTGCCTGGGTAGACCATATTTTGCAGAAGGTATTTAAAATGTTTTTATTAGCATGTCTTGAGATAAGTGCCAGATTAGATCAAATGAAAGAGGTGTTTTTAACACTCCTTGATGAATAGCTTTTAAAATTAGTACTGAAAGCTGCTTGGGAATGTGCAGTCCTGCAAATAAAATCCTCTGCACTCCAGAGCAGACAGACAGAAAGATTTTAATACAGTTTAATATGTAAAAAGGTTAAGTTAATGTCACATTTTTCCCTTGCTGTTTGCCTTCCTTCTGTTTTCACTGGTCACTATGCAGGAACTATCTTGTATTAATGTAACCTTTTCTGTATTTCTGTGAATTCACAATTTTTCTCTCTGTAGGCAGCACGTGGCTCATTTGGTATTTTCTTTCATTATAAAATATTGTAGTTGATTTGATATTTCCTTTTCTTCTGAAATATTATGTGCAAATAACCTGAGAAAGCTTAAAAACAGGCTAGCAGCTTGATTATGTGACTGAAGGAGGGGACAGAAACAGGATGGCAAAAATGAGGTGCTCTGAAATCTACATCAGAAAGGGTGAGACCAGAGCTATAATGAGTAGTTGCAGGAGCAGTGGGTTAATTGTGCTCCTTGCTTTTGTGTCTTGTGGCTGACTGATGTGCAGCTGAATTATTCTGCCTTTGCAGCACAAGCCCAGCTCTTATTAGATGAGAAAACAGCAAGGAAAAGTTGTCAACACTCTTACCTTGAGAAAAGCTTCAATTAGACTTTGCACTCATATTTGGAAATTCATACAAAAGAGAAAACCTTGGCTGAGGAGATGTTCCCCATGTGTCAGTAAGAAACAATTCTTGGTTTTCTCCTGCAGTTAAACCTTGATAACCTTCTCTTCCTTTCCCTCCATGATGTAGATTTTCTTATGGCTCATATGGGACAAAACCCTGGTGTATGGGCTCTCCTTGTCCAGGCATTCAAATATGCTTTCTCCCTCAACTTTTCTATTCTGGAATAAATTTTTATATTTGTGGAGTTATTTCTGTCTTTTCTAAATCCAATGACTTTTAAAGAGGATATTAGATATATCCACATACTGGAGAAACACCTAGGTGAGGCCAGAGGTGATTTGAAACACAAAATCATGTCTGTTGCATGGGATCCTCATTTCTCTTTTTAGGATCAAAAGATGATTCCTGCAGTTTATACCACAGAGCATTTCTCTACACTTCTCCTCTGGATCCTTCCATGTCTGTTCACAGTGCCCAAACTGAAGATATTATGAACGTGGGAAGGTAGGTAGAACAGATCAAAATGAAAACATTCTTTCCACATTTACTAATCATGTTCACAGAACAAATTCTTTGCCTTTTTGTAACACATCAGATTTGCAACTCGTGGTCAGTTTGGATTCTGAGCAGTTATCTCACATTTATCATTGCGCATCTGATTTCTCTGCCCTAAACTGAGTATTGTGCACCTCTGTGAATTTTGTCAGATTGACTGCTTTAGTACAAAATTTTTATTTTGAAACTGTCTGTTTCTCAAAGTCTTTTTAAACTCCCTGTGAATAGTGACATACTGGCATCAGCAAATTCTATTTTATTTTTTATCAGTAGGTCTTCAATTAATAATGGAATATTGAACAGAGTTGGTTTCATCCCAGACACCTCAGAACTACATTTGTAATTACTATTAAGGAGCAAATCATTCAGAGCAACCTTTGAGAGGAATTATTGACAGTAACCTCGTTAAAAGGAATTCCACCTAGGGCCTCTACCTTTTAATGTGAATTTCATAGAAGGTAGTGTTAAAAGGTGAAAGGAAGATTGTACATTCTCCTCCCCCTTTTTCCTTTTCTTATTTAGAAATAAGAATGAAAATCAGACATAAGAAAGGAAAATTAAACTGGTGTGACAAGATTTGCTTTCCACAATTCACATGCCAGTGAACTTTATCAACTTTTTGGTAACTTGTCACAGATTGTTTCTGAGCACAAAACTTAAAGGAATTTTTTTATTTGGCTTTAAAAATAGGGTAATTGTTTTGCTTTCTCTGGTCAAACTCTCTTGTCCTCCATGAATTCTTGGACATAATTACTAATAGTCTATAAATTTACTTGCCTTAGTCATTGAGCATACATGAACATCAGCAGGTTCTGCAAACTTGAATCTAAGTATGCTTTAAGCAGTTTTCTCTTTATTCTGATTTATACTAATTTCTTTGCTGATGTTTTTGTGAACATCTCAATGGAGACTAATACAAAGAACACACTGAATATTTCAGCCATCTTTACATTCTCATCAGGCAGTAGACCTCTTTTTTTCCAGTTCTTGATGT